CCTTTCCTCCTTGCGGCATGATGTCACATGCCAGTGTGGAAGGGGCTATGTTTACACTGCAGTGTTGCAGTGCAGATTTTGTCACTCCCCTTCCTTTGCCCCTCACGCTGAGGATGCTCATCCTTCCTGCATTTTTCAATCTTCAGACATTAGCTAAAGTCACAATGGCTCTTTGGTGTATTTAGTGGTAGAGTGAAATTAGACATGACTTTAAACACTTTTCTCTCTCCCTCCCACTTCATCTTTCTAAATAGCTGCAGTATGAGGAGGGTGGATTAGAGAGAGAGTGTGATATTTCATGTTGCACTGAGTTGGCCTTCATTTTTTTTCCTTAAATGAGCTCCTGTCCTCTTAAATTAGATTTTCTGCTGAGGTTTCATTTTTTAAAACGTGTGCTATTTTTAATTTGTTGCAAGTTGCCTTGAATGTGTCAGGACATAAATATGATAAATACCTATAATATTGTTGCTGGTAGCAAGGCAAAGAAGTGGTATTATCTTTCAGAAGTGTGTGGGCTGAATTAATTCTTTACGGTATGGTACTGTATAGGCTGAGGGCTCCCCCTGCTGGAACATTAGAGATAGTCACCAGGAGTTGAGATATCTTGAAGGGACTTTATCTTTAATGACCCCCCCCAGAACTGCTGACATGCGGGACACCTGGGGTGGGGAGGAAGGTGATACAGATCACAGAGGGGAAAGGAGGGGTAAATTCCTTGTTTCTTCTCCACCCATGATCCAAAATGCTCCCTGTCTAATCGTCTTTGAGTTACATTACCTGGTTTTGCCCTCACGTTGTCAACAAACAAACTTGGTCTCAGCTCCCAAATTCAGACCCATCCTTGATGAACTTTCCACCTATGAGTTGCCTGAAAGAGAAGAGATTGGCTGTATTAACCCATATTAGGTTAAAGCTTAATTAACAGGTGCGCACCGCCATCTATCTTACCTATTTCCACTGTATTCTGCAGTTTGACCAGTGTCCTCCAAATCTGAGTGGCCATCTAAAAACCAGGTCTTGTAACCAACATATATCACTGCTGACAAGTGCAATGGCAGCTGCTTTGAGTTTAGATGATGGAGTAAATCACAAAAGTAGTTTAAAATGCTGGGCACTGCAGGGCC